GGGTGCCCTGCCCGGCCAGGCCGCCCGGGACCTCCCCGGGGCCCCTGCCGGTCACCTGGGCGGTCCGGATCCCCACTCAGAAATTTTATTTATTTATTTATTTTTTGCCTGGCCGGGCAATTGGTCCCCGACCACACTGGTAGCCTAGACCATTTCTCAATTTATGCGCGGAAAAAAAAAAAGAGTAGAAACGTTTCTAGTCGGATGAATTTGGGCGCTCCTGTAGTAGCCCGTACGTTTCCTAAAATCTTGGCGCGTTAACGGGCACAACTCTAGGAAGTACTGGTGGTTTAACTGTTGTCTGGAAGAATAGTGCTTGTTGTACTCGCCCGTCTGTTTTTGCTTTGATCTGGGCCGTAGAGAAGACTTTCCTGTAGATGCCGAACTTGGGAGGGGCGATTCTGTAAGTTCGCAGACAGGTACATAGATATGCGATATCGTGTCATGAAACTTGGGAGGGGCAACTCCGCAAGTTAGCAGACAGGTACATATATATCCAATTCGTGTGAGGAAACTCGGGAGGGGCAACTCCGCAAGTTAGCAGACAGGTACATACTACATAGATATCAGATTCGTGTCAGGAAGAAATCGTAAACTCTTAAAATTTTTCTTGTGGACGCTGGACCAAGATGCTTACCTGAGGGCTGTGAGTGGATTTTAGCTCCGCAGGGAGATTTGTCTGCAATTTGGAAAACTAGAGGGTTAGGACTGAAACTTGGCCTAGCTTGGAGAGGCCCTGTGCTTGATAGACTTAGCACTAGCTGCAATGATGGCACCGAACTGCGCATCGATGATTTGAGTGCGCTTAGGAATGTCCAGTTCCAACTTCCAAGGGATATTTTTTGTCTGCAATGACTTGTCCACCTTTTAGAGGGCTGTTAAGAATTGGGTCATCGGTGGAGGAAGAGCTTGACGGTCAGACCTACTCGTCCAGGCAATTTATCGCTTGGTGTGTCGCTTCAGTTACTTCTCCGACAATTGTTATGCCGCTGCGCCCTGCGGTCAGTAGCAGAGAAGCGGCGGAGTCAAAATGGAGCTTGCAGACGTCGGCGATGACCTCTGTGGCTATGGAGGTGGGGTAGGAGGCTGAAGAAGAAGGATTTGACTATGGTGCTGGTGCCCACATTCGGCGTGCAGGGGAAGAGGAGGACTGGAGGACTTCACTTGACGACGAAGAAGAAGACAATTGTTATGCTGCTCAGCCCTGACAGGTAGTAGCAGGGAAGCTGCGGAGTCAATAGGGAGCTTGGAGACGGTGGCAATGACCTCTGTGGAGGTGTAGTAGGAGGGGGAAGAGGAAGGGGTTGGCTATGGAGATGGGTGTTGGTGCCCACATTGGGCACACAAAGGAAGAGGAGGACTTGACTTCACCAAGAAGAGAAAGTAGAAGAGGGGAACTGTGATGAAGACTCACCTTTGGCTATGGTGGGCTACCATCTTCACGCCCATTTGTGTGATGTTCCATCGAGTTCTTTTGAGTGGAGTCCTCACCCAAGACTGTGGCAATGCTGCTGTAGACGAGAGAGAGGGAAGTCCTTTCTTGTAGGCATAAAGGGGTATTGTTTTTTTTTCTTTTTAAACCGCCTGACTTGTTGATTCCAACCAGGTAACATAGCATGATGAGCCCAGTCCTTCGGGACATCCATTAAAAGAAAATTGGAACGATTCAGAGAAGATTAGCATGGCGCCTGCACAAGGATGGCACACATAGATCGAGAAATGTTCCAATTTTTTAAAGGACAAACCAACCAACCAACAAACAAATAGACAGACAGACAGAGAGTCAGTCAGTCAAACAAACAAACCAACGAATGAATGAACAAACGAACGAATGAACACACAGACGGACAGACGGACAGACGGATGGATGAACGAACGAACGACCGATCGAACGAGCGAACGAGCGAACAAGCGAACGAACGAGCGAACGAACGAACGAACGAACGAACGAACGAACGAACGAACGAACGAACGAACGAACGAATGAACGAACGAACGAACGAACGAACGAACGAACGAACGAACGAATGAACGAACGAACGAACGAACGAACGAACGAACGAACGAACTAATGCACCGAGGGACGGACGAATGAACGAACAAACGAAAGGATGAACGAACGAACGAATGAACGAACGAACGAACGAAAGAACGAGCGAACGAACGAATGAATGAATGAATGAACGAGCGAGCGAGCGAACGAGCGAGCGAACGAACGAACGAACGAACGAACGAATGAACGAACGAACGAAGAAACGAACGAACGAACAAACAAACGACCGAGCGACTGAGCAACCGACCGAACGACCGAACGACCGAACGACCGAACGACCGAACGACCGAACGACCGAACGAACGGACGAACGGACGAACGAACGAACGGACGACCGGACGGACGCACGGACGGACGCACGGACGCACGCACGCACGCTTGAGGTGAAAGTAGAATAAAAGAATTTATTTGTATACCCCACTTGAGTGATGTGGATGACACACTGGGGCCGCTGCCACTTCGTGGCCTTGGACGTGGATATAGTATGCCTACCCAGGAGGCAGTCTGGGGGTAGAAGGGCTGAAGGGACTTCATTCTCAAGAGCTTTTGCCATCTTCTTTCCCTGAATAGAACATAGGGTAATTATAACTGAATTAGAGGCAACTTTTAGTCCAGGTACGGCCATAATGACCTTATGTTCTATTCAGGAGAAGATGGCAGGGAGATCCATCAGACATTGTTTCGTGGTTCAATCCCGTATTCTTTTTTAATTGAAGAACAATAAGAGAGGAGGAGATATGATGGTACTCAGTACAAGTGGCTGAATGGTATGCCCAGGTTCGGATCCTGCTGGAATCAGATTAAAAAAAAAAAAAATTTGACTCTGAATTTCCTGGATCCCATTAGTTCAACGATGACAGTCACCCTTTGGAAACAAAAGTAGGAGATATGAGGGTAATGGTACGGTGGCGAGACGAGGGGGAGCTGACAATGACAGTCTTCTTGTTCTCTTTTTCTTCTTCTTCTTCTTTCTTCTTCTTTCTTCTTCTTCTTCTTTCTTCTTCTTCTTCCTCTTCTTCTTCTTCTTGTTCTTCTTCTTCTTGTTCTTCTTCTTCTTCTTCTTTCCTCACTTCTTTCTCTCTCACTTGTCTCTTACTCTTCATCTTTGTGTTCAATTCATGTACTTGCCCCATTTTTTAGTATTGCATCATGATTTTTTGTGATTAATTGTTATCTTTTTGCACTGCGGTCGCTCACCCGCCTTGCATAAGCCTACTCCAGTGGAGCCATCCTGGATAGCACCCGGGCAGCCAGAGCTCTGACATTTTTAAAATTAAAAGTTGAATTGTTCATAAATGCGGTTGAAAATGGTCAATGATGCCAGCAGTATCTGGACTTGGAGTAAGATATTGAGCTTTTTTTTTTTTTTTTTTTTTTAACGAAGCCCCATCTTTTCTGGGAGGGTTATTTAACTGTAGGGGATGGCTTATTTAACTTTATCACAATTGGCTGAGCTTGTTATGGGGCTGGAGAGGGGAGGGAGGGAAATGAAGTAAGCATACATAAGTGCACACTGCATGGTGATTATCTGGCGAAATTCTTCAATTCCTATTTCATTTTTGGAGTTTTTTTTCTGGCACTGGCTTAGTACTAGTTAATAAGCTTCCCCTCTGGTTGGTTCTGCAGGTTTACACCCCCTTCTTAACACCAACCTCACAGAGATGAACCCGATATTTCGCAGCTCTGTCTCCAAGCAAGCCCAGCGATCATCCGAGCCGGGACCACTTACGGAGCTATCTAATAACACAGTTACCGGTGGGGATTCATTGAACCAGAGGTCCGCAAAACCAAGTAATTCCAGCTTGGCGACAGACAGAGCAACACCGAAAAAGGCCAGCATATTGTGAGTCTACAGTCGCGCTCATCTTCGTTCAGCACACCTTCTTTTTTTCAATTTTTTATTTTTTTATTTTTATTTTTTATAACTAATCTGTGTTCTTCTCTCAATCTTCTCTGTGTATTTTATTCCGCATCTATCTCATCTATCTCATCTATCTCATCCTCTCGCTACCCTATGTATAATACGGGGGGGGGAACACCAACCCAACCTGGATTCTGGAACTGTCCCAGGCCCACGGGCCCACGGGGTAGGTTGGCACCACAGCAGTGGGTGGTGCAAGAGCAAGGCTTGTATCAGAGCCCCTCATCACGATGATGCGGGGTGATCAGGCAGGCATTGCCGACGGGGGAAACTAGCGATGCTAGTGCCGAGCATATTTGGCCAGTCACTTGCACCTCCCCCTACCCCCCTCCAACCCCACATTGGCGATGTCTAATGGCCAATATCGTTGCTGCATAGCAACCGACAATATTGGGCAAGGTCCTGCCAACGCTGGCTTGGAGGGCCAACAGGTTATCTCTAGCTGGTCGAACACCAACTTTGCCCAGGCACGTACGTGAGGCGAATGGGAATTGAACCCACGACCTCCTGAATGCAACTTTTGTGCCTTACCAACTGAGCTAGGTTCAGCACACTTCCATTTATCCTCCTCCCATTCTTCCTGCTGTCATTTGCCACACCCTTTTTTCCCCCACACTCTGGCTCTCTGGTATTCCCTTACTCTCTCTTGGTCTCTCCTCCCAACCCTCTGTTTCTTCTGGTGTGTCTTAGCTCTTGCTTTCTGTCTTTCATCTCTGTCACATGCAATGGAGGGGTCTCACATTCGGCATTTCGCATTGTGTTTGCCTCTTCCTCCCAACCTGTTTCCACAGATAGATAGATAGATAGATAGATAGAAAGATAGATAGATAGATAGATAGATAGGTAGGTAGGTAGGTAGGTAGGTAGGTAGGTAG